AAAAAAAAAAAAAAAAAAAAAAAAAAAACTTTAAAGAAATTTTATGGATATTTTTTAATATATGGGTATTTTTAAAATTTTAAAATAATTAAAAGATCTTAATTAAACTTATTACTTGAAATTAACTTAACAATTTACTTTTGTTAATTTTGTTTAATTGATTTTATGCTGACTAAGCCACGTTTGTTTGAGGTCATTGCAAGTATACAACAGTAGCGTGGAGATGGCAATTGCCAGCTCATTTCTTACGTGTCCAAATCCAATATTTAAATTTCCCAAACCTCGGACCATTGCTTCTTTTTTTTTTAATTCTTTTTTTTTTTTAATTAAAAAAGGCATCGATAAATTTGTTACGCTAGGTAGGACGGTCGTATTTTATTATTATTTCCGTTTAAATTAATCTTCTTACGTTCTCGTGCTCTCTATTTGTATTAAATTTACATAAAATATTATTTTAGTGGCTGTCTGTTCGTAAATTTACCACGCCGCAATTGTAGCAGCCACGAATATTACTAAAGAAAAAAGTCTAAATAGTAATAGTAATAGTAACTATAGTAGGTAACTAATCTAAATAAAGAAATAAATCAAACCCCCCTAGATTTACCTCCCTGCCAAATTTTAGTAACATTGCCGCCTAAAAATTTTAGTAAGAGCAAAGTTAGTTCTTGCCAAAAGGATATCGTAATTATGGGGATCTTACAATCCACCCCTTTGGGAGCCACTATCCTCGCCACTCACCGTCCAGTGTCTGACTTTGATGCCATTTGTAATAGTCCAAGTTCACCGCTAGCAGATATTGTTTGCCGTCAATATCTCACAGCTTTAAAACGCGTCTGTTAGGAATGTTTTGTTTTTCTTTCCAACCGACGTGAGATCTCACGCTGGAATACAAACTAAGCAAGAATATGTGAACAAACCCAGGGGATGATCGATGATTAATAGTGTATTCCGTTGTCCCCCGACTACACAAAGATTTATCATAGATGAGCCGATCGTTCGGATAACAACCTTGCATGCAGACCTAAACACGACATAATTAGTTGATACATTAATACCTCTTCTATTCATGAATGCAACGAGGAATCGTAATCTGTTGGCCCTGTGAAGCATGAACAGATGATGAAGCTAAATTGTCATTTTTGTGCTAAGCCAACATGACATATGAAATACAAGCATGTTAGAACGAGTGTGGTTTGATTTAGCCCTCGAAAGATGAGATTCCAATGCGAGGTATCAACGTTAACAGAAAAGGCAAAGAGTGCAAGAATCAAACCAACCGAAACTTTGGTGTATATAGCCATGGCGTTGGGAAAGCTTCTGATTCTCGCCTGCCCAGAATATGGTTTCTTCCAAAGCACCCTGCAATTAGAGCTACTTCGAGGTTATTGGACAACAAACAGCAATTTGAGTTCTATTTTCAACTTAGATACTGAAAAAAACGACTTGTTGAAAAGCCATTTAGAACACAGAATTTACTTGTAATTGAACAGAGAGATAGAGTTGTTCCACTTCCAATGGATGACTCCTTGATTTCATTTCCTAATGGATACCAAATAGGATGGTGCCTGGAAATGGCCAGACATTCTTGGCACATGAAACTTGGGGTCCAACCAGAAGTTTGGCACCCCAACAGTATTCAGGCTAAATTTTTGGTATGACACTGCATTCGACCAGAATTTTGAGAGATGCATCATGTTAGAAATCACGACTCTCTACAATAGTATGATATTGTCCAACTTTGAGCATAAGCTCTCATGGCTTTACTTTAAGCTTCCCCAAAGTATCTCATATCAATCGAGATGTATTCCTTGCTTATAAACCCATGATTATTCTCTAAATTAGCTAATATGAAACTCCCTCCCAATAATCCTCGTTCACTTCATCCAAGATTATCTATGACCCACTGAACATTTTCATGTACTTGATCGTAACCTTTGATGCCTCAGCGAACCATCAGATCCCATCCCATCTTCACTATCTACAAAAATGTAAGATCATCAGCAAAATTAAGACGAACACTAAGGTTATGTCAAGATGGTATTCGGAGCTGTGACATTTAATGAAAACTATTATGAATTAAGAGACAGGTTCAAGGTAGAAAAACAACTAACAGGTAAGATAGCATCAGAATATCACCCACAAACAGGATAAGATCAGACGGCATAACCCCATATCCAAGTATTCAAATGCATATCCAAGTATTCAAATGCATATCCAAAGCCATGGCGAAGTACTGACCCCTTGAAAGGAATTTCTAGGAGAATTTTCATTTAAAACATAGCAGTACCGGGAAGAAGCAGTCCGGTGTGCTGACACTGATATAATATACAAATTGTGGTGTTGGTATCCTCTGTCCGGCAAAATTCCAAGGCATCGGCTGAGCAGTTCAAATGGGATCTGAATTGAAAAGTCGATATCAATGATAAACAAATAATGAGAAGAAAAACTGCGTTACAGTGCCTCTAAATGGTTATAGCACATGAACAAGTGAACTGAAACGGGCAAAAAGAAACTATGTAATCTAATAATAAGAAATCTAATCTCCTAATGGATTGAAACCATAGCTTATTTCAAGATCTTTATCAGAGTATCATCCAGAGTATGAAGCTCAGTCTAAATCTGTCTATTTCTTCGTTTATCCTTGAAATTCTCAGATGAAGTAATAGAGGTAGAGCAAGCACCAAAAACAATCTAACCTCAATTTCTAGGGATTTGAATGAGCCAAATAGATAGTTGATCCACATCAAAAGAAATTATCGAGGCAACAGCAAGAGGAAAGTGTCAAACCAGTTAGATTCTGAACACCTCCTGAAAATTATAATCCAACAAGCTACGAAATGTGCCTTATCGTACATAAAACGGATTAATAAATCTACAACAAGCTTGGTTTGTAACATTTCTGGTGTTGAATCAGAGTCTTGCACCAAATGTTACGTCTCTGAAAAGTTTGGCCAATTACCAGCATCCTTTCAGATTTTACATTGCATTAATCACACATAATCGATAATTTAATAGAACTATACTGTCACAAAGAGAGAGATCCTTTCATTACCTGCCATAAATCTAAGCCCTCGTGATCTGAACTGTACCGACGTTTTCGCCATTTCCACACGCGGCGCAGGCTTCCCTGGAGAATCAACACACTCAAATCTCCCGAACGCCTTCATCTGAGTGTTCGGAGCCACAATAACCCATGATTGGTTCGCCTTAATTGGCTGAAATGCTAGGCATGCAACCACAAAAGGGGACACCATTTTTATTCATTCCTTCAAAAGATTTAAATACAAAAAAAAAA